GAAAGCTAGTGAGGGCAAACAAACACACCCTAAATGTAACTAAGAGGTGACACACGTTAAAAGAAGTGTCACACTTCACAATTGAAAATCATCAAAAATACAAAGTTCTTGCATCTAACCAAGAGTAAAGATAACACTCACGTTAAAAGAAGTATCACATTTCACAACAATATACCGTCATGAATGTGAAAATCTCACATCCAATCAAGAGGAAAGATAACACTTAAGAAGACTAAATATTTTAAGTTGTAAAACTACTATAAAGGCACCATAAAGAAACGATTGTACTATTCTTTGGTAATCTTACAATCGTCGGCAAACTAAGAAGATTTCTATGAGTCACCTCTAACAAATATGCACTCTTAAACCTTTGTCATCTGCATAAACTAATTAAGAAACACAAAAACCACCACCTGAGCTCTGAATAACATCCGCCACTTAGAGATTCGAGTTGAGCAGTGAATCGTAGACGCTACAAAAGTTGACCTTGACAGGGTGATCATAATGACCACAATCATAAATATTCTCATCAGCAGACCAAGAGAAATCATTATCTAAAAACTAGTCCTGAGGTTAATGATAAAATTTCATGGTGCCAACTGCTACCAATGGAAAGGTCAAAAGTTTTCATATAGATAGGACTTCCAAGTGGAAACACACGTCCAATTCAAACATGTGTACGGTTTTTCATTTCTTTATATTAAAGGGTAATGTTTATAAATCAGTTTCATCAATTCTTCCTTCTATCCTTAATTTGAAATGATCTCTAGTGTTTGTTATCCATCTAATGGTAATCAAGTTATTTTGTAACAATGAAAAATTGTATCGACATCAAGGAAACAATTATAATTGTAATGAATAGGTTTGTATCTACCAAGACCAAAGTTAATTTTATATGTAAATAGTTCAAAAATATATATTGTTAGAGAATAGAATCCCACATTGGACATATCACAAAATAATATACAATTAGAGTTTTCACCTCTAATATCACCGAGGTCTTTTGTGATAAAACTCAACGCATAGAAATAGATAAGTAAGTTAGGACAATACATGTAATGTTAGTGGTGGACCATGTTATGCCTATAAAGTAATCACATATATCATGTAGGTATGAAATACCCCGACCTAGTTTAGGTAAATTTTATATAACTATCATTTGCCAATACATACGCTCACATAAAGATTTTTCTTTTAGGCACACAACATAAATGTTGAAAGGCAGCAAAAGAAATGCGTACTATATAAAATTTTTAACTTTTAATGCTCTCTTTGTAGGAGAGAAATTTACATTTAACAGATTGCATTTCCTTTTTACTCCGTTTCTCTCGTAAGGTGATGAAGTCGCTTAGGTATATCATATATACAATAAGTTGATTATTGTTCGATGAGTTTGATTTAATTTATCTACTATACAAGTCTCAAAATTTATAGTAATTTAATAGTAATTAATAAGATGGTAAGAAAAATGCAGTCTTGTAAAATATGTCCCTGCATTAGGACGCTGATGTTGAATACTGCATTATTAGGGTGATTGCCACTTCTCGTTACAGGACAGATTTTCTGTCTACATGACTAAAGCATGCTTGAAAACGATATGTAAAAGAATTATGGATGCAGCAACCATCGATGTAAGTTTACAAAAATGTGGAAAATGAATGCATCTCTACTCTCGAGCGACACCTCATTACGTGCCGCAATAAACAACACGAAAATGACATGCCATCAGCATCTTCAAATTCCAGCTGGGGTGCTCGTATGACGATCAACGTCACTAACACATTTAATTATGATCTATTATCTTCTTCTTTTTCAGTAAATGAGAATTTCAAGTTTTGGTCGTAAGTCCTGACAAAGAAATATTAACATTATTCCAAAACAAAAGTAAAGAACATAAGCTCGACAAATACACATCAGAAAAAGGGGCCTTACCTTTTTCTGGTTACTAATAACTTGATATAGCTTTTTTATTTTAATTTTAAGGATACTTTTGCAAAACTAACCTTTCCACTTAACGAAGATATTGACAAATTTTTCATAGAATAATCAAAACGATTTACGGTGAACAAACTCAGGAAACACTTCTATCGATTATCATTGTCAAAGACTAGATGAGTAATCTCATAAATCATTTTAGCTAAAAGCCAGTTATTATATTGGTACCATACTTACTTGGTAGTTCTATGTTGTTATAGAGGAGGATCTTGACAGGGGCTAAATAGTTTATGGCTCAACTCACTCAAATAATTAACCAATTAATCTCATGCGCCAACAGTGCACTTTATTTAGAAAAAAGAACGAATGATGCATGGCTAATTAATTCTCTATTATTGGATTAAAAAAATGTGCTAATTAGTTTGAGTGATGTTATTTTCATCCCAACGTCTTACCTTCCTACCCACCTTTTAATAAATTTTTTAATTACAAATTTGTCTATTTACAAAAAGACCGACATTTACAAAAAGACCGATAAGGACATTAATTATCTTATTTTGTTTAATTAAAAAAAAAAAAAAAAAACCCAAGGTTGGGCATGGGAGACAATTTGTCTACCTTAAACCCTAACTCATATTTTCATCTCCTTTCATTCAGAGAAAGTAAAAAAAAAATAGCAATGGACTTAGAAGATGACTTTTTCATTGAACAGGTAGAAGATGATGCTTCTATGGAAGAGGTAGAAGATTATGTTTCCATTGAAAGAGTACAAGAGTTATTTGTGTGTAGGTCATTTGAATTTTTCCATCGTATTTTTAAATTTGTCGTTGTCGAATTCTTTTGAATTTGGATACCTCTATCGTTTCCATTTGAATTTGCAGACCTTAGTGGTTTTCATTTACATATTATTTGTTATATTTTTTAAGAGACAATTTTATAATTTCATATGTACATATATATTAAAGGTTATTTTGGGAATAATAGTGGGTGGGAAAATAGCATTATAATTTTTTAACTTTTTTAAGATGGGTGAGATTATAACGTGGATGGGAAAATAAGACAATGAGGTGGGTCTAGTAGCTCTCGTTATTTTTTTTTAGATCAAAGGAAATTTTCATTGAGAATGGTCAATGGCTCATATGAGAAAACATGTCAAACATAAGTCCTTACTCTTTAGAGGCCGCCAATAGAAACATTACTACTTCTACAATTACAAACTTTCAAATACACAATACAATTTCTTAGGCACGGAAAAACCATTTACAACTAATAAAAAGGTTAACACACGACACTCGAAAGTCGGAGAACTACCATAAAGGCCACAAGAAAAATATCGCACCATTCTTTGATGATTTGCAATTGTCCGTATAAGAATTACATCCTAAAATTGTCGATCTTCATTCTCATAATCTCTTGTAAAGCGCATAAACCACAAAACCACCATGTCATATTTGAATTTTGAACAACATTTGTTGCTTTAAGATTCTAAATTGAGAAGTAAGTTATAACTGCTACAAACTCTCCTAAACTTATTACATTGTCGATACTTCTATTATATGTTTTAGACTATCAAATATCCAAAAGGTATCTACAATCAGTAGTGAAGCCAAGAATTATTGAGGGAAGGGGCAAAATTTGAAAGGGTAAAAATTATTGCCGGCGAGGTTTTATGTCATGAAAACATTCCATAATGTGCTCATTCATTGCATAATGAAATGTTATTAGCAAGGGTAAAATGCTGTAGGAAAAGGTATTGAGCCGTTGGAAAAACTTTTCGAGGAAAAAATTTGTCGTTGATCGTCGCAAATTCTTCTATTCGAAATACTTTTTTTTTCCTTTTCTGATTAGTCATCCAAAAAAACACATTTTCAACACCAATCACCCTACGGTTTCTGTTAAATACTCGTTGAAGTCGAATTTTAAAAAGGTTAATAATCCTAAATTAAAGAGGTTTTTTGTCAATCCGGTGCAAATATAGTTTACAAGCTAGCTCATATAAGGTTCTCAAGCTCACAATGTCATCAATTTAATAAATTATCATACAATTAGGCCGAAGATAAAAATTAATACACTTATAATATATCTTATGATGCATTATGACACTTTTAAAACTTCGTGACCCATTTTAAAAATCATTCCAAATGTGAACAGAGTAAATTGTAGTTGACCTATTTTTTTAAGGTAAACTCCAAATACATACGACTCTTCATTTTTTTACTCATTTGAATAAATTAAAATGCACACTACTGTGAAAACGATCAAAACGAACACAACAAATTATCGAATATTTACATATATGTAAGAGATTGAATTATGTGCTAACTATTAGTCTAAAATTTATATACATTGCCAATATAATTTAAATACAAAATTAAATACATTGCCAATATAATTTAACAAGTCAGAACTTGAGGGTATATTTGTGAATTGCGAGTTTTGGGGCACATTTTGCTGCTCTCGTAAAAGGGACGGGGTGTAAGCAAGTGCGGAGAAAAAATGGGTGACCAGTGGTTCCCACTATAATCAATTTTTTTTTTATCTCAATAAAGCAAAACGGCTTCGTTCCGCCTAGGAATTTTCAAAAAAAATTATAACCCTTCGTTGCTGCTGCTGTGCGCAACAGCAAGGAAACCAAAGAAGTAGCCGGGACTCCATCATTTCCGACGAAACCAGAGGGGTGGAACCATCGCTCTTGGGCTTGATTTCAGCGAGGGGAGGAGCATCCGCCCCTCCTCGCTCCTCTGTAGCTTCATCCATGTCTACAATTTAGCATTTATATACCCATATATTATATATATGTATAGTAGATTCGTACGCATACAGGCCATACCATCACACTAATTTTTCTCCGATTCAATACTGGTTTGGTACTGAAGTGCTTTTATAAAAAGTGGGTATAAAAAAAACCAAGCTTAAAAAGGTATTTGGTAAACACTTAAGAACAGCTTATTTGCACAGTTTTGGATGAAATAAAAAGTTGAAAACGTGAAGTAGCAAAAATGAGCTTATTCTCATAGCACAGCAAAAACAGTTTTTTTTTTTTTTTTCAAAATACAACAATATCAAAACAGCCTCAATTAGCTGTGTTGTTTCTGTTTTTTGACGACAAGAGTGGTCCAGTCCGCCTAATATTGTTGTTAGTTTACTTCTCATAAAATTAAAAAGGCCGTTCTCCAAAAAGAAAATTAAAAAGGCCAGGCCAGTTCGTACAGAAACGAATAAGTCCACGTGAGTGAACGTATTTTTCATACATTTTTCGTTTTGTGGACTCAGATCATCACAGTCTGCTCTCGTCTCATACGGGTTCTTCATGCTAAATATTTTTCTCTCACTTTCCATATTTCAATCATTTCTCTTTGGAAGTGGAGACGTACACACAAAAAAAAAAAAAAAAAAAACCACTGAACTAAAAATTAATATTTGATTCTATTTCTTATTTGTTTATATTTACTTGTAAAAGGTGTGCGGAAATTATTTACGTGAAAAACCATGGAATCGCATATAAAATGTCATGCCATCTTGTGATCTCTCTCATTACCAGTCTCTTCCATGTTCCATTCCTTGGTCATATTTCCAATGGAGTTTGAAGTTTCTGGGCTCTTGCAATTGTTTTACACCTTCATTTGCTTTCTTCTATTCTCTATGATCTTCAGCCTTTTCCTATTGAGATCAAAACTATGGTGCAGTTGTGAAATTTGTCAGACCTATCTCACCTCAAGCTGGTCTTTAGAATTCGTAAACCTTTGTGATTGGTATGCACATCTTCTTCAAGATTCTCCAAGCAAAACCATCCACATACATGTTCTAAGAAACACCATCACAGCCAACCCTGAAAACGTCGAGTACATGCTCAAAACTCGATTCAAAAACTACCCGAAAGGCAAACCCTTCTCTACAATCCTTGGCGACTTTCTAGGTCAAGGCATATTCAACGTGGACGGCCACTCATGGAGGTTTCAGAGGAAAATGGCAAGCCTGGAGCTCGATAGACACTCGGTACGATCGTACGCTTTCGAGATTGTCAACCACGAAATCGAGCACCGTCTCATCCCTCTCTTAACATCCGTTTGTTCTAATTCGGATGGTGGTAACGGAATAGTCCTCGATTTACAAGACGTGTTCAAGAGATTCTCGTTCGACACCATATGCAAGTTCTCTTTCGGGTTGGACCCTATGTGCCTAGAGTTGTCACTGCCCTTGTCTGAATTCGCCATCGCTTTCGACATGGCCTCGAAGTTGTCCGCCGAGAGAGCCATGACGCCATCTCCCATAATTTGGAAGATCAAGAGAATTTTAAATTTGGGGAGCGAGAAGCAACTTAAAGAATCCATAAATATGATCAACGCTTTAGCCAAAGAGGTGATCGCCAGAAAGCGCGAATCGGGATTTTCAACCCAAAGAGATCTCTTGTCAAGATTCATGAGAAGTGTAGAAGATGAAGGCTACTTAAGAGACATTGTTATAAGTTTTCTATTGGCAGGGCGTGACACTATGGCGTCTGCTTTGACAAGTTTCTTTTGGCTCATGGGGACCCACCCGAACGCTGCGTCAGCAATTCGGTTGGAGGCTGATAGAGTGCTTGGAATCAATCAGGGTCTCAAGAGCTTTGAGCAAATGCAAGAACTTCATTATTTACAAGCCGCAATTTATGAGAGCATGAGGCTCTACCCTCCTGTACAGTTTGATTCAAAGTTTTGTGAACAAGATGATGTTTTACCCGATGGCACGTTTGTGAGGAAAGGGACTAGGGTTACTTACCATCCGTACGCAATGGGTAGGATCCAGGAGAGTTGGGGCTCCGACTGCATGGAATTCAAGCCCGACAGATGGTTGAAGGATGGCGTTTTCTTCATGGAAAACCCTTTCAAGTACCCAATTTTTCAACCGGGACTTAGGGTTTGTCTGGGGAAAGAGATGGCTGTGATGGAGATGAAAACTGTTGTGCTTTCACTGCTGAGACGATTTAACATCGAACATGCAGCACATGAATCATGTCGTGTGCCGAAGTTCTCTCCTGGACTCACTGCGACCTTAAGCAGTGGGTTTCCAGTGCTGGTGAAAGAAAGGACTAGCACCACCATCGTGTCATGAGTAATGAGTCATGACTCACGATGGGTCATATATATTCTGCTCAGCCATATGTGGTACATCTATTTTTGGTGCATGTTATATGGGTCTACCAATGCAATAGGGGTGCGCAGTGTGACATGGACGAAACTAGGCCAACCTGTGGCTGAATTCAATGTGTACCATATGTAACCAGAATGTCTGCTTTGGTGCGGTGTACGGTATTTATTTCGGTGTACAAGATGGTGGCAATGTAGCTGGCTTTTCTTGATCACTGTGCAAGCAGATACATATATATTCCTTCATGATATAATTAGCTAAAGCTAGTGATGATTTGCTTTATCTATTTGTCTCGTTTCGTACGCAGAAAGCTGCACAATATTATTTTATGTGAGTACTCTAAGGATGAAGATCCTTCTGATCAAGGAATGTGGACCGTTAGATTTTCATCCAACGGTTATAATTATTATAACTTTAAAATGATCCCCTATTTGTAGCCATTGTATTTTCATTTAACGGCCCATATTCCTTGGTTAGGAGGATCATCATCTTTAGATCGGGAGAGGATCCTGATCCATATTGATGTGAGTAGTCTTGATATATTGGTAGAAGTACACTTACTAATATATATATATATATATATATATATATGTATATATTCTACTTCCTTCTTATGTATTCACTAAATTAGGGTACTTTGTTATTCTATGTGAATCCACAAAACCACATATTCGCCAAAAGGGTTTGGTGACTTTGGCTAACTAGGTTTCTAGTCCTACAAACGAAACGATCTTTTTGATAAGGTGCTTTATTCAATATACCTTATAGCCAAAACTGTGCATTTGAAATCCAATAGTGAAAACTAAGAAATAAAAGTGCCAACATTTTTTAATAAAAGATGCATTCTCAAAAGACTATCACATGGCCTAAAAAAAAAAAACAAAAAGAATGGTCTAGCAATATTTGAAGTTCTCTTTTTACAAATGACGTATTTCAAGTAAAATTTTGTTAATTTCTCTCACATATCTTTATAATGCTCATGAAAACTTTTCTAGTCTCTCCTTTATATGTACAATTTTTGTGATATCAAATTTTTGTACTTGACCTTAATTGAAATTTAGAAAATTTTCAACCAAAACATAGCATTGCAAAAGTGCGCTCTTTGTAAAATTATAAGATAAGAGGAACAAAAAACAAATAATAGGAAGAAAGACAAAAAAAACAAAGCCGTTGGGCAGTTGGAACGTTGGTCCCAACTTATGAAGTGGAAAGTAAATATACTACAACATATGTGACAAGTCCACAAGGTGTTCACATGTGCCTTCCTTGGCTCCACGACACATCATATGTCATACTCAGTCAATTTGTACCACGCTGGCTGCAGTTTTCTGTCTTCCTTTTGTACATGATTTTAATATTTTGTGTGGCCTCTTTGCATTGCATATATTTTGCTAAAAGTGCCAGCAGCATGCAATATGTCCCAATTGATTCTCAGGTGAATGAACAACGATTTTGTGACAATTGGGTACTGTAACAATTATGTTTGCGAAGGTTTGGAATTTGCTGTAAAGTTGGCTTTCGATCGTGTGATTTGTGAAGGATACTTCACCTACGGGAAGAGTAATTATTGGTGATGTTAAATTGTAGCTAGCTCTTTACCTAGGTATCCAATTTGCGTTGCATATTAAGCGAGAGGCCAATAATGTGACACGTCGCTTAATTAGCTAGGTTTCTTTGTATCCTAAAGTATGAGCAGAATAGTTTGAGGGTTGTCTGATATTATTTAGGTTGTTTTTTTTTATGAATGATGATTGTAGTTAAGGTCAAGTTCCATCACTCTCCTCGTTTTTAGTTTTAATGTTCCATCGCAGGTTCATAAAAAAGAAAGAAGTATTTTTGCATGGTTTAGGGTTACGACCAAGCCGCTAATGCAGTCATTTTTTTCGTGAAGAGTCTAATCCAACCCGCAAGCGGCATTTCTATATTATTAAGACGGTTAACAATTTAATGTATTTCAAAATAAAAAAACTTATGATTATCTGTTGGTAATTAACATGATTAGTTAATGTGACTGGTATTTTTTTTCAAAAGAACTAGCTAATGGTATCATCATTACAGTCCACTCTTTTGGAACTCAAAATTATTTATAGAGATATTTCAACTTTTTCTCTAATCACTATCATGTGATTCACCAGCACCTCGATATATGACTATAATATTTCATGGCTAGAATATGACTCGTTTCTTTTATGTTGCCTCTTAGGCCGGCAGTAAAGAAATTGATTTGTCATAGCTCCACTTGTGATCGTAACAAAATAATCATATCATTAAAGTTAGTTGAAAATCAACCTATACATATCCATTCTCAAAAAAATCTTATTAGAAAATTAATCTGTGTATCCATTCAAGCAAATTAGTCCCCTTTTCTTGGCGGGGATCTCTCAAATCATGCATCTTCGTGTGAAATAATTTTAAAAGCCCATAAAGAGGAACACAGACGTAGGTCGATTCTAAGATTTTGTGTGCATACAAATTTGGTTACAATACTTACATATATTTAATACAATCCTTATATATATATATATATATATATATATATATATATATATATTTAGAAGTGCAATTCATTTTTGGTTCCAAATGAGGTTAGGACCAGACCTTTGTGGCCATGCCAAGATTCCACAACCAAAAGGTGCAAGCAAAACTTGTTTGCTAATGTTTCACAAAATGATTTTGAAGAATTGTTTTGTAAATTCATAGGATTTTACATTTTTATAATTTGAGAATAGGTTTGGTACTTTTAATTTGAGAATGATTCTTGTTTTTTTTAAGAAAACTATGAAAACGTGTCTGGTACTAATATAAAAGTGTCAAAAAATAATAAATTCATGTTTCCTAGTAGAGTAATACTAAGTAGATTAAATTTGCAAACTAAATGATGTGTCACCAATAAGAAATAAGCATGTTAATCAATATTTAAGTGATAATCCAATTATCAAGTTTCATGTTAATTAGTTTACAAAATTTAGTCTACAAATTTGGTCTTCCTTGTGACAGCCCGTCCCGAATTATTTTTATCGATGGTGTGAAAAGACTAAATTGCCCTTGGACGTTAGTTGGTGTCATGGGTGATATGTTTTGATTGTGGTCCAATTTATGTTAAGTCATAATTGTTTGGACCCAATTGGAACTAAATTTGTCCTAGTTTGTGGTTGGTTATTGTGTTGCCAACTAGGACCACACACACACACACACACACACCCAAACAACCCCATTGACCTTTATCTCTCCTTCCTTCTCGAATTTCTTTCCATTTCCATACAATTGTACGGGCAACTTCTCAAACCACTTGAGCATTCACGGATCAAGATTTTGGAAGCCATCTTCATGTTCCTTGGGAGCTTAGGAACACATCTATACCATTTTTAGAACGTGAATCCTTTGAAAACTCGAGAACCTAGGAATCCCAGATTTTGGGCACTGTTCATGTAGTCATGATCGTGGGATTTTCAGTGAGTTTTAAGGTTCTAGGAAGCTTTAGGACGTCTTCACGAAGCTCGGGAAGTAATTTTGAAGTGTTTTGGACGTCGGGAAACTCGAGTTCGTCGAGTTGCTGAGGTTGCCGGAGTGTTCAAGGTTTCTCTGACGAGATCTCGTGGATTGCATGGCTTGAAAGTGGTAAGAATGTGTTCTACTTGTTGTAAGCTTCATTTTGGTACAAATTTCATGAAATTTGGTTGAGAAATGGCAGAGATATCAAGCTTTGAAAATTTTTCAATTTTCGGTGACACAGACGGTGGCCGGCGGCAGAGTCTGGCGATCCACCAGAGAAGAAAGAAGAATATTCTGTCAACATTAACGGAATATTCCTAACGGCAGTTAAGTTTCCGCCAGGGTTAGCCACGCGTCTGGTCGTGCCCTTGCCGGAGTGTGGTGGCGCGTGGGTGGTCCAAAAATTATTTTAAAAATATAAGGATGTTCATGGTGTTGATTAGATCACGTTGGTATATTCAAACACCCCATTTGAGCAATGTATGAGAAGTTATTAGCTAGTTTCGTTTATGTGCTTTAAATTAACGTTTATATAGTTGTTTCGCATATAGGTGAGACCTATCCTCAAGACGAGCGCAGTCAATCAAAGCTTGGGGAATACGACCCTTCCACATACCAGTGAGTGGGCTTTTGGTTTTCCGTATATACCTATATACTTGAGATTTTTCCCAGAAAATTGATTTAAATGAAATTATAATTGAAATGCCATGCCTATTGATTTATGCTTAGACGATGAATTTGTATGATATTTGCATATTGTGATTTGACGCTGTGGACGCTCAGGTAAGTATCAGGTGAGTTGTAGATTGTTTATGTAAATTGGTTGATTATGTAAGATGCGTTGAGAGCTCATAAACCTGCACCCCGGTGTTAGTGCTCCCGCGCATGGTTAGGGCACAATCATTCACGTAATATTCACCTCCTGCACCATACGCTCATCTTGGATCCAAGTTAGGTGCACAGTCCTGTCGTACAGACCACTATAGGTGGTTCAGACTCGTAGGTGACCCGCGATTATTTACATAGTCTTCACGTGATTGTAGCACTTGAGCGTATTTATTTACACTTAGTTATGTCGTACATACCACTTTAGGTGGTTCCGACTCGTGTGCAGGTATATTTGTTGACATGTGGATTTGAGCCATACAGGTCACGTTAGGTGACTCCGGCTGACATATCATTTGCATTGATTTATATCACTTGGCTTACATATTTTTATGCTGAGATATTCGACATGGCATATTTGTGAATTCTGTTATTCTGAGCATGGTTGTGGTATAGATATATATATATATATATACATATATATTCTATTCTGGGAAATTATACAGGTTTTATGGCGAGGGGTTACTATCTTTGGTAATTGAAATGGTTTTGAAAAGCTTTGTTTTTGCCCACTCACACTTTCTGTTTTGCGCCCCTCCAGGTTCTAGTTATGAGTGCTTTGTGGTGGCTTGCGAGGAATCCACGACAGCTTTTACAGATTATCATCATTGTATGGTCACCTTTGGGTGTTGTATAATTAGTCTTTGTCCTGCTGGACTGCACTTAGGCTACTTGTGCTCTGGTTATGAATTCACACTTATTTCGTCTTGCACCTTATCTTATATAGTGCTCTAGTTAGTTTGGTTTTTATTTATTCGCATTTCTTATATTTTTATTGCTTCCGTACTGTGCACATGACTACGTCACCCTCACGTGACGACCAGCACGCCTTGATTTCGGTCAGGGTGTGTCATTCCTAGCATTATCTTTGGAAGTAATGTTTGTGTAATCTAAACCACATATTAATGAAACCTTTTTTGTCAAACCAATGAGGGTGAAAAGACATTTTTATCTTCTATCACAACAAAAAAGCTAAGGACAGAAATGTAATTTCACAAAAGCAAAATTTTGCTTTTTTTTTTTTTTTTAAGCCTCACATACAGGTGATTGTATCATGTCTAAATTTTTTTTTTAAAATAAAAAATAAACTTCTCTCCCTCTTCCCCTACTCCCATGTTCTCTCTTCACTCTCTTCCTCTCTCCTTTAATTTTAAAAACAAAAGTAAAGGATTTCGCACACTTTTTGTGTGTGGGCATGTACTATTATAAATTTAAGATAGTGGTGGTGGTGGTTGAGGTGATGGTTGAAGTGGTGGTAGTACTACAGTAGTGGTGACAAGATATATGTGGTGGCTAGAGTGGGGTAAGAGGCAATGGTAGAGACAATGGTGGTGACAACGACGATGACAATGGTGACAGGGGGTTGTTGTGTTAACAATAACAATGGTTGTGAGAGGGTGGTGGCAATGGCAATAGGGAGTTGTTATGTTAACAATGGTTGTGAGAGGATGGCTATGAAAATTGTTGTTAGGAGGTGGCGGGGATGGCCAAGGTGGTTGTGGCCATGGTGAGGGTGATGGTGGTGGAGAATGTGTGAGGATGATGGTAGAAATTTTATTTTACAACATTTTTTAGTCAATGTTTTGAAATAAATATTGGCAATGTTTGCTTCATGAAATGCTGCATTTCTTTGGCTTTAATTGGTATTCCTCTTCATTTGTAAGTGAGAAATTTTAGGTTCCTCTTCTCTTAGTACTATAGTCTAGTAGTATTCCTCTTCACTTGTAAGTAAGAGGTCTTAGGTTTCATTCTCGCCAAAGGCAAATTTGAACCACATTATTACTAACCCATTATGAGGTTAATCTCATCTTTTTTCGCTTAGTGTAGATAATATCGTTTGTTAAAAAAATTAGGACAAAACCAGTTTTTCATCAATTATAACACCTTTCTCGTGTACTTAAAATAAAAAAAATAAAAAAAATAAAAAAACACCTATCTCGCGTTACAAACGCTCTTTGTTGTTACAGTCGATCATGCCCTCGAAATCTAGTTCAACAAACCCCAAACTCCATCAATTTTGAATCCAAATCTAGTTCAAGGGTCGCCAGTGTAATTAGTAGCAAACATAAATTGGGGTGGGTGGGGGAGTTTTTACTTCTTGTTAAATAAAAAGAAGGGTATGCAACACGAGGACTTCTCAGGAGGTGGGTGGAGTAAAGGTGGGCTCGAAAAACCGAAATCTGAAAAAATCGAACCATTTGCCTAAAAACCGAACAAAACCAAATCAAATAGAACTCGAAGAAGTCAAACCAAATCGAAAACACCATTGTTTAAAACACCATTGTTTTGAAAATTAGGGTTTTTGCTAATCCTTCTCAAGTTACCAATTGAACTAATGGGTGCTAAATCTTGGTCATTATTTAGTAACATGAATTGGCCTAATGAATATGTTGTGATCTATTGGCTTTTTAGTGTGGAAAGTAGTAGATTTAGTGAAATTTAGTGTTGGAATCTGAGAGATTAACTCCTTACTATGATTTTTTTAGATTTTATTTTTTACTCCTTTAAGAACCAACCAGGTTTTATTAATAAAAGCCGAACGAAATCAAATCGAATTGTAGAAAATAACGAAATCAAACCAAACTGAATATAACCGAATCAAACAGTAATTTCGGTTCAATTTTTTATTTTAAGAAAAAAACAAAACTAAAATAATCCGAACACACCCCTAGGTGGGAGAGTTTGGTGGCTATTGTGTGGGGTATCAATTGCAAGGACATCGTCAAAAAGACAACGTTAATATTGCAATGGAGGAAGTGGAAGTCGAACCTCCACTCGCGGTCCTATTGGCTCCAAAACGCGGGAAAACAACCAAAGACCAAGCGAAAAACCCAAGCAGCAACAACATCCACTGATCAGAACCCAGACCCAGAGCCGGAGCCAGTTCGAATCGACCCGGAGCCTGCTCGGATTGAGCCGGAGGGAGTTCGAATTGAGCCGGAGACAGTTCGAATCGGGGAAGAAGGCTCGAGGAATGGGCCTAGGGTTAGTGTTTCCATGTTCGACGACTCGGTGGAGAATCACTTCAGAGTTATGGACACCATTGCCAAGCTCTGCGGCGAGGCGGAGGAGGATGGCGGTGTCGAAGACGGCGAGATTCAACGCTTATCGTCCTCAGTTACCTTCCTAAGGTAATAAGAAATTAAATGCCTCTCTGTTGTTAGTGTTTTTGTTGCTTAATTTTTCAAGAAACGTTTTTTCTTTTGTGTTCATTGTAAAGAAACGTTTTTGTTTGTTATGATGATTGCAAAGAAACGTTTCTGTTGATGGGAATGGGCGGATTTTAAGTATGAACCTCGAGATGTTCGATTTTCTTGTGGAGTTGGAAGTCCCGAGGGGGTGGATGTCGTCGGCGGGATAAACTTACGGCAATTTTCTTCTGCAACAGTTCCTAAGGTTATATATTCGAATTCGAATTTATGGTCGGTTTGCCTCTAATAGTTTTGCAAAGAATAAGCTGTTGCAATGTCTCTCATTTTCATATGAGAAACAAAATTGGCATTTGATCTAATTTTGCAGTTTACATTTTAATGCAGGACAAGGCACTTTCTGGTGGTGCACCATCTCCGGGTTGAGGTACGTGAATTGGCATTAGCATTGAGGCACTTTGTGACGATTAAGTTGTTTTGTGCTTGTATTTTTGCATTTCCTTTGCTGTCCTTTTCAAAGTTCTTGGAGATTGTTGCTTTCGTTGTTTTAATAAATTCAAATTCAAATTTGATGTTAGTCTTGTATATTGGATTTTCAGTGCCACCTAAACAAGGACTGATATATATCTCCAAATGTCCATTATACATTTTTGCAGCCAAGACTTTGTGATGTATGTTGGAGGGCCTTTTTGGGCGTTGGATTGGTGTCCTAGAGTTCATCAAAGTAGCGATAATCATCCAAAATGCGAGGTACATGGTCTTTTTGAGGCCCTTCCTTCTTTTTATTCTTGTCAAAGTCTGTTACTTTAAGGGTCTACAGCTTTCGCTACTTCTCATAGAAGGAAATGTGATGTGATAACTTTTGCTTTTTACGAAGTTATTTTTGTAATATTTGACTTTAACATTCTTGATCATTAGTGAATCGTGATAACTACTTGAACAGATGCCTTCAGAATATTAAGTGCCTTAAATAGTGAACTCTGAAATTTTAGTTTTGAGCAATGTAGGAAACTTCCCTTGACTAGTTTTCTCTCGAATGGATGAGAAGTCCCCTTTTAGGTGATTCTTAGTATGGTTTTCCATCTTGAGGCTTTCTTGGGTTCAGTTTCTTATGTTTACGTCATTAAATTCACATTAGTTTATTAGTCATGCTAGCAAGTTTGAGGCCAATGCCAAATATGTTAGCTTAAATCTTAAATACACATACATTTTGGAAGAGTTGGAACTTTGATGTTGGACCATAGTGATAATTCGTTTTCCTTATCATGAAAAGATACAAATGCTTAGGACTAGAGTTCAAACGTTTATGCTACTCTTTGTGTTATTATCAGCAACGTGTGTTAAATTAGTGAGGTTTATACAACTTAGAACTTTTACCATGTTAAAGTAGTTCAAGTCTTCTATATTAGACAACGTTATCGTCACCATACTTTGCAGTTTATTGCCGTAGCTGCTCATCCTCCTGGATCTTCTTATCACAAATTAGGCGAGCCACTGACTGGAAGAGGCGCCATTCAGATATGGTGTCTTTTAAATGTTGGTGTAAATAAGGAAGACATACATTCAATAGTAGAAAAGCCAAAGCAGGGGAGTAAGAACAGTGGAGCCAGACAAGAAAAATCAACCGAACCAAAGAAGCCTTTAAGGAGGCCTAGAAAGAAGCCAATAGAAGAAAAATCAACTGAACCAAAGAGGCGTAGAGGAAGACCTAGAAAGAATCCAATTGAAGAATCTGCTGACAAGAGGCCACAGAAGAAAAATCAACTCGACCAAAGAGGCCTAGAGGAAGACCTAAAAAATATGCAACAGAAGATTATGTTGACAACTTGGATGAGAGCAATAATTATGTTGAGGTTCCTGCCATTGAATATCCAGAGGGATCACTAGAGTTGCCTTCTACGGATTGTGTTCCTGCAAATACTTATGTACATGCTGTACAAGAAGATCATGGTAAACAATGAAAGAGTTACAAACATGTGGCAGCATCTGATCCAGCTCGGAAATCACATGTTCGGAGGAGAAAATTAAATAATATCGAAAGTGCAGGGAGTGATAACAGTGATACATATCCACCGTTGTTGAATCAAGATGGGGAGAAAGGATCATTTGGTTCAGATTATCATACACAGCGGAATTCAGGACAGGATCCTCATAACAGTTATGCATGTCCACCGTTGTTGGATCAAGATGCGGAGAAAGGACCACTTGTTTCAGATCTGCAGAATTCTGGACAGGATCCTCTTAATATTTATACAAATCCACCGTTGTTGAATCAAGATGGGGAGAAAGGACTGCCTGTTTCAGATCATCACACACAACAGAATTCAGGACAGGATCCTCAAACAAGTAAAAATGTTCAAAATAATGGTTACTCTGAAATTGGCTCAACCAGGTGTTCAGTAGCGACGGATGTTGCATTGCCACGAATTGTATTATGCCTAGCTCACCATGGAAAGGTTGCCTGGGATGTGAAATGGCGTCCTTGTAATGAACATGATTCCAAATGCAAGCATCGGATGGGCTATCTTGCTGTACTGTCAGGAAATGGGTCTCTGGAAGTGTAAGGCATCAACCTTCTTGTTTATACAG